TGAAATCAGCCATTTTCTTGACATTTACTTGCTTCTTTTAGTGGAAGTAACATTAAAGAATAGGTTATGGATGTTAGGAAGAACTTGTTGCTAACGTGGCGTTGATACTAGCTAGACCTTGTTAATGTACAAAGTTAGGATTTAAAACTAATAGTAATATATTTGTACTTGATTTTTTATTAAACTGTACTAATTTCTTGGGCTTTTACAGTTACACATCTTTCTTCCATATTGGAAATCTTGAATTCTCACTTGTGTTTTTGTTTTACTGAGTCAGAATACACATAGCATGAAATGTACTCCAGTGAATTTTAGTATATGTACACAGTTGTATTATCAGCAGGTTCTAATTTTAAAATATTTCCACTATACCAAAAATAAATAATCTTTCTTTATACACTACTCCTCTTGGCTGCCATATCTACACAATCACTAAATCTGTTTTGTTTGAGTAGATTTGCCTGTGCAAGACAAACACAGAATGTAGCTTTTTGTGTCTGAGGATTCATGATTTTAATGAGTGCAAGCTCATCGTTCCTGTAACAAGTGTCAGGACCCCTTTCCTTTTAAACTGTAGAATAATACTACATTGTATGGATGTTCATTTTGTTTTCCCATTCATTCATCAATTGATGGGTGTAAGTGTTTATAAAGGTCTTTTTACGTTTTGTATGTAGAATATTTGTCTACATGTTTATGTGTACACCACATGTGTGCAGCACCCACAGAGGCCAGAAACCAATGTTGGGGTTCCAGGAACTGGGGTTAAAGCTTGTTGTGTGTGATATAGGAGGAGCTAGGAACTGAATCTGAGTCCTCTCACAAAAGCAGCAGGTGTTTTTAACAGCTGAGACATCTTCCCAGCCCCTAAATTGTTTCTCCTAAAACTGCTATGAACGATGCTGCTGTAAACATTTGTGTCCAAGTTTTTACATGAGCCTGTGTTTTCCGTTTGCTTGGGCACACTTTCACTCTTTCCTGTGCTTTTGAGTTTCTGTCTGATAGCATGACCTTTCCAGCCTGGAGAACCGCATTTCTTGTGCAGCAGATCTCCTATAATTATTCTCTCTACTGTGGGTTATCTTGGCATGCCTTTGTGCTCCCTTTACTTTTGATAGAGAGCTCAGTCGATCAATGGTTGCTTTCTTTCTTTTTTAAAATCACTCTGACTATGCCATCTCTACTATTCACTGGCTTCTGTTGTGAGAAGTCACCCGTTCACAATGAGTTACATTTAAATTTGTTGCTTTTCTTGTTGCTTTCAAGACTTTCCTCTTTATCCTTTGACTTTTAGTAGCCTCATGAAGTGTGTGGATGTATCAGTGTCCACTGTAATTCTTCAGGGCCCTTTTCTGTCTCTACTGGTATCACAGAGTTCTCAGCCTCCTCCTGTAGCCCTTGTGGTATCTATCATTGTTGACATATCCAGGGCAAGGACATGTGAAATCAAAGGCTGTATTATATTTAAGGTGGCACTTGAATATATGCTAAGATGTTTAGGGTAGTGAGGAAAGAGCCTCCAAAAGCCTGTTAACCACATTTCACCTATTGGTTTAAAAAACAAGGGCTATGAGTATTGGTATCCAGCTGAGCCCTCATGAAAGACCCCCAACACTTTCACAAGGCTCTGGTTCATGATGTGTTTAACATTTTCTATCATGGCTTAGATTAAAAAGACCATGAAGCCTATCTATGTGGACTCAGACTCTTGTGTTTTGCCAGTGATTTCATTCACTAGCTAAAGAGCATAAACATTACTGAGCACCAATGACATGCTTGGAACTCTTTGGTGAGGAATACAGTGAAGAACAAGGCAATCCAGGCTCCTTCCTTATGAGACTTACACACTAGTCAGGGAAGACAAAAATCAATCACACAAATGTATTACAGATCATAGTGTGTTACATTTGATCAAATACAGAGTTCTGGAAGCAGGAGGATTGGTAAGTCGAGTGCCTTTCATAAAGCAGTATTTAGACCAAGGTATAAGAAAGAGTTGGAGTGAAGAAAGGGAGTGAAAAATGGTCAAAGAGACACCGTGGAGAAGGAACTAGATCTGTGAGGCAGTGATGGTCTGAATGAAAATGGCCCCTGGAGGCACTTATCTTTGCATGCTTAGTCGCCAATTGATGAACTGTTTGGAAAGGATTAGGAGGTGTGACCTTGTTGGAGGAGGTGTGTCATTAGGACTTGGCTTCTAGGATTCAAAAGTCCATGCCAGACCTAGTCTGTCTCTCTGTCTCTGTCTCTCTTTCTGTTTCTCTGTCTGTCTGTCTGTCTGTCTCTTGCCTGCTGCCTGTGGATCAGGATATAAAGCTCTCAACTACTGCTATAGCACCAGGCCTGTCTGCTTCCCACCATAATAATGGTGGACTCACCTTCTGAAACTGTAAGCAAGGCTCCAATTAAATATTTTCCTTTATAAGAGTTGCCATGGTCATGGTGTCTCTTCACAGCAATAGAACCATAACTAATACAGAAATTATGGAAATTAAAGGCAGCCAGTGTGCCAGAAGACTAGAAGCTTGAAAAGATGCTGAGAAACAGCCTGGAAGAAAAGCAGGGCCATGTAGGGCCTCCAGGTCTTGAATCCCATGGGTCTTGAATTTTATTCTGTGTGCTGGCTAGTCAACTTATAACTTATGTCAACTTGACACAAACTAGAGTCATCCGAGAGGAAGTAACCCCAACTGAGAAAATGCTTTTGGTAGGTCAGCCTGTAGGGCAGTGGTTCTCAACCTTCCTAATGCTTTGACCCTTTAGTGCAGTTCCTCATGTTGTGGTGACCCCCAACCATAAAATCATTTTTGCTGCTACTTCATAACTGTAATTTTGCTACTGTTATGAATCATAATGTAAATATCTGTGTTTTCCAATGGTTTTAGGCAACCCCTGTGAAGGGGTCATTCTACCCCTCAAGGGGTTGTAACCCACAGGTTGAGAACTGCTGCTTTAGGGCATTTTAAACTAGTTATTGAAGGGGGAGGGCCCAACCCATTATGGAAGTTATCACCCCTGGGCTGGTGGTCCTGGATTTTATATGAAATAATGCTGAGCAAGCCAGTTAGCAGCACACTCCATGGCCTCTGCATCAGCTCCTGCCCCCAGGTTCCTGTCCTGCTTGAGTTCCTGCCCTGACTTCCCTCAGTGATGGACTATTACCCCGAAATGTAAGCTGAACTACAGACCCCCACATTGCTTTTGGTCATGATATTTTATCACAGCAATAGAAAACCAACTAAGACATTCTACATGGTTTTGAGCACCCAGCACAACATGACTTTGTTTAACTTTTGAAAAGAATGACTATGAAAGATAATCAGGTGGGATCCCTGAGTGGGACCAGGAGAGGGAGAGCAAGAGGAAGAAGAGGCAAGTAAAAGGTTTTGTAGTCATCCAACTAAGAGATGGTGTGACTTGGCCTAGTAGAATAAGGAAAGAGGAAAGTGGGTGGATTGAAAAACATAAATCTTTAGTTGTACTCTATGGTACTAAATTATTAACATCTATAATTCAATCACCAAATTTCTCATTCTGTTATGATTTTAACAAGATAAAGCATTAGTAATTGATAATATATTATGATATTTATTAACTAATTATTCCTCTTCTCAGAGAGTAAATCAGATATGTTTTATCAGAAATAAAAAAGAACAAATAGAGCTCATGGAAGAGGGGGATGAAGAATTGTAGGAGCCAGAGGAGGGGAGGACACCAGGAGAACATGGCCCACAGAATCAACTAAGCAGGGCTTGCAGAGACTGAAATAGCAATCATACGGCCTGCATGAGTCTGCACTAGGTCCTCTGTGTGTGTGTGTGTGTATATATATATAATGGTTGTTTAGCTTGGGGTTTTTGTGGGACTCCTGACAGTGGGAATGTTGCCAAAACTGACTCTTTTGCCTGCTCTTGGGACCTTTTCTTCCTACTGGGTTGCCTTGCCCAGCCTTGATATGGGTTTGTACCTAGTCTTGTTGCATCTTGTTATGTTGGGTGAGGAGCAGTGGATCTGGGGAAAAGGAGGGATGGGGGAGGGATGGAGGGAGGGAAGGCTGTGGTCGGGATGTGTTGTATTGAGAGAAGAATAAATAAAAAGAAAGAGAAAGGGAAGGAAAGGGAGGGAGGGAGGAAGGAAGGAAGGAAGGAAGGAAGGAAGGAAGGAAGGAAGGAAGGAAGGAAGGAAAGAAAGAAAGAAATGGGGGAGGGAAAAGAAGGGAAGGGACCTATCTGCAGAAATAGGAGAAAAGTTAACACTCAAGTGATTTATGTGTGTTCACAGAAATTGTAAAAGAAGATATGCTGTTAGCTTTAACAAGAGAGTTTGTGGGATTACTACATGAAAACACACTATTTTTTATACTTGTTTATTTATATATACATGCACATGTAGACATTAAAAAACAGCTTGCAGGAAAAAAAGGAACAAATGATACCCCATTATATAGATAGTAAACTTTACCTTCAAGGACATTAGGCAAGGGATGTGACTTTGGATTATTTTTTAAACTGGACTATAGAAGTGTAAGTCCTGATGGTTTTAACCAAAACCCTGGAGAGGTTCTTTTGCTAAGCTTCAGTTTCAGATGTTAGGGCATTTCTGAGAATGGAGTGACTGGTGGATGACCCTTTCTCAGAAGATGCACAGTGGTTATCTTTTCTCAACTTACAGGTGGCTGTCCTGGTAGTCCACACTATTCAAAATGATTGCTTAGCCCAGAAATAATTTTTAGAATAAGAAGATATTTAATTCTTTGTGTTTCTGGATAAAGAAATCATAGCCTAGAGAAGTTTAAAGACCTGTCCAGGAGCAAAGTGCTTACAAGAGGCAGACTGGGGCTACTGTGAATGCCCAGCAGCTGACGAAAGTGCCACACAGCTGCACATGTAACCGTTCTAATGCTTAGCTGGAAGATTTTAGAAGAACACATGAGACCTTTTACCTCCTCCATAGGCATAAGGACAGTGACGGCTAACAGAAACCTATGTTCTCTTTACTAGTTGCATTCTATGGGAAAGCTTCCTGGAACCAGAATGGCAGAGTTGAAAGCCAAGTACACCTTGCTGCACGACACGGTGGTGAGGTATGCTATCCGCCAGTGCAGAGACACCTTCTGTCGTCTCCTTGTTTCCCACGTATAATGAATGGGACTTCTCTTAACTTTTGTTCCCTCCAAATGTGGAGTCTGAGGCAAGGATCAGAGTTCAGGTGGCTTTAGAGATGATTAGGGAAGTGATACTGAAAAGGAAGAATCCAGATGGGGTGGGGTCATCTGTGGTTCATGTTGTGGGCAGCAGGGGCCCAGTCTTAGGGATTTACTGACTGAGTATTTGGAACAATCTTAGCTCTGCCACCAAGAAGTGCCAAAGGCAGGGTATTTGCCCGCTTGTTTCCATCCCTCCTTAAGAATTGCTCCTGGAGAAGTTAGCTCTTGAACTTCCAGATGACAAGCATGTGCGTAGGGCCAGGAGTTCTCAGGCAGAGGGACCTGGGTGCTGATTTATGTGTGGTGACTATCTATTGAAGACACTTTGGAGAAGAGGGTCTGGTGGAACACTGAAAGCATGTGCATTCCTGCAGGACCCCTCCCCAGCTGTCACTCAGAAGTATAGATTCTGTGACAGCTCAGACTTGGACCTAAGACTTCCATCTGTACTGCTCACTACCTCCTCCTATCCCAGCCTACTCTCTGCAGCTAAGTCCAGGCCAGCAGACTAGGTGTCCACAGAATAAGTCAGCAGCTTTGCCCAGAGTCTATTTGCCACTGGGAATTGAAGCCATCTGAGGAACTCTTATCTACTCAGTAACAACTAACAGTGGTATCTTCTGCTTCCAGGTTGTGTTGTGAAAGAGTCACTTCCCTTCTGCTAGTCACATTTTATCTCATCTTTACTCCTTACTTCCTTCTCTACCCATTACAAAACCCACCACTCTGTCTCAAGCCCACAGGGAAGCATGAAGAAGCAGACTCTATACTTTCGCTCTTGAGGCTGCAGGCAGGCAGATATGGGTTGGAGGTACTGAACTGACATTGACTGAGTTTTCCACGAAGACTACATCGGAAGTTAAACTCTCTTTTATTGACACTGTATGTCAATTTGTGTACACAAGCATTTGTGTAAACTGCACTTACATTCTGACTGGGAGCTAACTGCTGAACTGCCTCCTTTCTGTGTGAAAGAGCACTGTGGCCTGATCCAACACTGACAGCTCATGCCAGATGAACAGCAAGCTTGTTAACATACAAGAACCCTGAAGCGTAAGAGAATAACTCCCATGTCCATTCCTGGAAATTGGAGGTGTTCACATCAGCATCACTCTGCTTGCTCTCTGGCACCTACCGTAGTTACTGGAACGTATTATGTTCCAATAAATGTGTGGCTGGATGCCACTGAACACATGACACAGTAAAGCCTGGGAACGTGGGGGGAGCCAGTCACCTCATCTGAGACAGGCTCGACCGGGTTATGGGGCATCTCTGCAAATGAGCGAAACCCAGAGGCTTTCCTTGGTAAGGAAACGTGATGGAGTACACACATAGGGAGTGCTGGGTTTAAAACCGAAAACGGCAAAGGCTTGCCTCTCAATTCAGGGTGGGGGTCGCTAATGTGAGGGCATCTGGACAGATAAGTCATGTCTAGTGGAAGTTGAGCCAGTGCTAGCTCGTAGCATGCATGAGTTCTAGAATATTCTTGGGGATATTTCAAGTATACTTTCTGTGTCTATCCAGATCTGCCTGTAGCAGAGGTGTAACCACTTCACTAGACAGCCCACAGAATACAACTGGGGATGTAGGAATCCTCCTTTCTGTGATGTTTAAGTCTAGTTCTAGACAAGCATCAGGGTAGAATTCAAAACTCATTAATTAATGTCCATAATTTTATAGGAGAATGTTCCTGGTTTCCCAGTAGTGGTCATTAGAGGAGTGCTTGATGTCTTAGGGTTGAAGATCTTGGTGTAGTCACATTCAGAAAAGTAAAGACACCAAGAAAAACAGGTTGCTGGGGCTGTTGAGGGGCCTGCTTTCCTCTCTTCACTTCCCCTTCCTTGGAAGTCCTGGTCTTCCTTCAGAGTCAGAGGGGATATCCTGTTCCCTTGGAATCACGTGCTTTCTCCGTGGTCCCCAGTGTCTGGATCTAGACACCTCTGGAGGTACTCGTGACCAGACCCTGCACTGGCTGAGTATATCCCGTCTCCCTGCTAGAGGGTGAGCAGCCTCATTCATTACAGCGCTGAGACTTGGCCCTGGAATGGGGACCAGCTGTGACATGCTCCCACCCTACCCCCAAACCCTCTCAGGAATAAGGGGGGTCCTGAGGATGTGCACTCCCTCTCTGTCAATGTCTTTTCCTGTAACCCAGCACACAAGAGTCAGAGGTGCAGCTGCTGCAGAATGCCAAGAACTTCACAGAGCAGATCCAGCAGCAACTGGTCCGCCTGCAGCAAGCGGATGACTTCCCCAACGTCTTCTCCACTGAGGTCTGCAAACTGAGGGAGCAACTGCTCAAGTACCAGAATGAATATGCCGCAGTGCAAGAAAGGGAGTACCACAACCAGTACAGGCTGAACAGGTGAGTTCCCAGCGCCTGGAGCTGGTTCCACAGCGGTGTGGTGCGGGCCCACTGGGTGAGGTCCACAGCGGTGCGGGCCCACTGGGTGAGGTCCACAGCGGTGCGGGCCCACTGGGTGAGGTCCACAGAGGTGCGGGCCCACTGGGTGAGGTCCACAGCGGTGCGGGCCCACTGGGTGAGGTCCACAGCGGTGCGGGCCCACTGGGTGAGGTCCACAGAGGTGCGGGCCCACTGGGTGAGGTCCACAGAGGTGCGGGCCCACTGGGTGAGGTCCACAGAGGTGCAGGCCGACTAGGTGAGGTCCACAGAGGTGCAGGCTGACTAGGTGAGGTCCACAGAGGTGCAGGCTGTTTGCACATGACGAGTTAAGTTGGGAAGGTGTTCAGGTACAAGAAGGATGACCTAATAACTACAACCCCCCCCCCCCCAGTTTCCCCTTGATTCCCAGCACTAAAAGATCACACAAGTGCTGCAAAAATAAGTCTGGTGACAGAAATCCCTGCCGTGTTTTCTGAGTGTCAGGGACTCCAGAGCTTTGGAGGCTGCTGCCAAAAAACACACTACACAGAGCAAGGAACTTGGTGGCCTCTTTTGCTCCCCTGTCCTTCATCTGCGCTCTCTCTCTCTCTCTCTCTCTCTCTCTCTCTCTCTCTCGCTCTCGCTCTCGCTCTCGCTCTCGCTCTCGCTCTCGCTCTCTCTCTTGCTCTCTCTCTCTCTCGCTCTCTCTCGCTCTCTCTCGCTCTCTCTCTCTCTCGCTCTCGCTCTCTCTCTCGCTCTCTCTCGCTCTCTCTCGCTCTCTCGCTCTCTCGCTCTCTCTCGCTCTCTCTCGCTCTCTCTCGCTCTCTCGCTCTCTCGCTCTCTCTCCCTCTCCTCTCTGCCTGTGGTTCCTGACATCATGTTGCCTGGCACCCAGGTCACATCTCCCTCACTTCTTTCTTCTAACACAGCAGGAACAGAACCGTGTATTCAACCTTTGTCCTGTCACCAAAGAAAAAGTTTCACAGATTCTTTCTCTTACTCAGGACTCACTTAGTGAAGCCAAGCAGGTACTGGCAGGAGGGGAACCCATTTCCCTGCCTCTCCTGTTCCCTGTGGAAGTTCAGCATGTCCCTCTGTCTAGGGCTGCATGTGATTGTAGTTTTGAGGTGTGGTGTGCTGTGCCTGGGTCCTGGGAAAAAGCCAAACCTGTCCTCCTCGACTCTGTTACCATTTAAGGTGGGAGGGCTTTGGCATTTTTAGCAGTCTGTAGAATTCAGACAGTGCAAATATAATTCAACTCTGCCCAGAGACGACAAATGCCTGAGCGGCCTCTGGAAAACCATGTGGCCCCTGGGTCTTGAGATCTTCCCTTGTGGCTTATTTTTTTTCAGCTGAAGAATAGATAAAGAAGGCAGTTTAATGAAGAGAATTCTATTCAGAGAGAAGAAAAGCCAGGCAGCTTTTTCCATGTGTCTTTCAGTCTAAAGTCATTTCAGACTCTCCAGAGAGCTATAAAAAGAAAGAAAGCCCAGCTATTTCTGTAAGCACTCACTCTTTCAGCTGAAAACAATAACGAAATTAAAACAATTGGTGGTTGTTCATTAGTGTTGCAAATAGGAATTCGTGACATTTTGTGAAAGGGTATGAAGCACATAAGTCAGCTGATCTTTAAATTGTTTAAAATTTCCAAGTATTCTTGCCAAGAAAGAAGAAGGGACAGGGTGGGGGGAGAACTCTTGCCTTTTAGGTATAGACAGGCAAATTGTTCACCAAGCTCCACAGGATAGGAAAGGGACAGTGTGTGGCGACTTACACCAAATGAGAACAATCAAAAGCATGGGACACTTTACACTGAGCAGATTCCCTATATCCTATCCTCAAATATCAAGAGCTCAGGAATTAATACACTCATTTTTATAAAAATTCATTTTGCTACCAAAGGGATTCCAGGGAGGAATAATGGGTTTTGCATTTCATTGCCTTCACACGTTTGATATTCCATGGTACAGAAATAAATCCACTCAGTACTCCCAGAGGGGAAAGTAGGGATTTCCATCCACTGATAAAAATAAATGAAGCCAATGAGAGAAAGCTATTCATCCAAATATACAGACGATATTTGTCAGTACAGCACAGTAAACGCTCATTGTATCCAGTGCCTAAGTAATAGAAGCCCAAGTTGTCAACACCCTCCACCCCAGCGTCTTCAGGAACTTCTGAATCACTGGTGACTGGCAAGAACATCATCAAGTTCCTTTTAATTTGGCTGGTCTCCTGTTTGCTGCTGCCATTGCCTCTCTCTCCCCCTCCCCTTCCTCCCAGAGATCTGCCTCTCCCCCCCTCCTCCTCCTCCCAGAGATCTGCCTCTCTCCCCACTCCTCCTCCTAGAGATCTGCCTCTGCCTCCAAGGTAAATTAAACTAAAGGCATGGGCCACCACACCCAGCAACTTCTGTTGTCACACAAAATAAGGTTTTTAATAGATGCTAATGGTCTGTAAAATTATTTGATTAGTTAACAACTGAACATGTGTTCCACAGTTTTAGTTTAGGGCTCATACTCACTGATAATCTCTTGATAAATATACACCTCAACAAGAAAATGTAGAACATATTTAAGTGAGCTAAGTAAATATAGATTAAATAATGAAGTAGTTAGATACATACTCAGGGAACTTATTTTTTCACCAAGGAAGTCATTATTTTTCTGAAAGCTTTCTCTGATAAAGGCTTTTCCATATTCTCTTCAGTCTTTGCCTTTCCTGTTACGTTTTCATGGTTTCCCTGTTTTCCACTAATTCCCAAAATTTGGGCAGCAAGTATATTGTGTCTCTTGGGCTAACTCTGACATATTCTGTCAAGCCTTGGTCAGCTGGGGAACAAGGCTGTGGTTAGTGTCATCTGTCATGGTGTGGACATAGAGAGTGGTGACACTCCTGCTGAGCATGTGCAGGGATGTCCTCATTGACTCTCGGGAACTGGTTCTTCTAATCCCTGTTGCTGCCCACATAGGCTCTTTACACATTTTCTGTTCTTGGTCCAATAAAGACATCAAAGTAGAAACCCAGGAATGAACCCATCAGTAAGAATGTGATACAGGAATGTTGGGGTGTCTTCCAGAGTGCTCGAGCCTCTTGCTTTTTGGTGAGCTCAGCGCAGAAGTCAGGGTGCCAGGAGCTCCTGGCCACATGAACTTTCAATGCATCAGCAGCCTGTGGGTTTTTGTCTCACAATTCGAAGATTAAATTCATAGATTCACAGGTGGGAACTTAAGATGGACAGAGCAGAGCTCTTGTGTAGCAGGAGGCTCCCCGGAACTAGGAGGCCACCAAGCTGCCAGTCTGGAGGCTTTTTAAAGGATTTATGCAGACCTGGGGTGAGGTACATTCGTGATCTGCTGGAAACCATGTTGATGGGATCCTGGCTGCCACCAACTGCTATGAGGAGGGAAGCTTCTTTTGTATCGATGGGAGACATTGTGTGCCAACCTCCCCCCTCCCTTCCAAAAGAAAAAGAAACAGTCCAGACATGAAGCTACTGAAGAGAGTCCTTAAAAGTTCTGTTAGTGATGCTGAAGTGTCGCTCTTCACAGTTGGTGGCTTCTGGCAGGGGTGGGGCAGGGAGATCTCAGTTGTCTTTAAGGGTCTGGCCACTGGGAGTGTGACCATGCTCCAGTGAGTGTATGGGCAACACAAATTGGACTTGGTGTTCTTTTTCTTTTCTTTTTTGGGGGGTTTGGATGGGTACAAGGGTGGGAGGATGGGCTTAGAAGGAATGGGAAGCAAGTGTGATCAGGTTACGTTGTATGAAATCCCCAAATAATTAATAAAAATATTATGTTTGGAAGTTTTTTTAAAAAGTACCTTATACCATTCAAACAAAAAATAAAACAAAAACATTTGATCTCAAAGTTAGTCTTAGCCCTGGCTGCATGCTAGACTAATCCAAAGATTCCCTCAAGATCAATCAGTCTGTGCTTGAACACCCCAAGGCCTGGCCTCTCACAGCGACCCACTCCAGCTTTGGAAAGCCCCCACAGTGAGATGATTGTGGGACCAGTTCAGAAACCTGCTTTTGCACTCCGGCCTGCCGTCCTTCCGTGGGTGGTTGCCCTCACCACGACTGCGCTGTTGGGCTCCCCACTTCGTCCCTGAGCTTGTGCACCTTAGGACCATAAAATTCCATGACATGGTTTCTGTCAGGGCTGTTTTGATGCTGAATGAGCTTTAATCCTAAAGAGCTTTGATGCAGAAGCCTCCTTCAGTGGAGAAGCTGAGAAAAAAATCAGATTGAAATTTGAATATGAGTGTAAAAGGTTAAGAGTTAATATATACCATAATGTATGGCATATATTATCATACCAAAAAGAGTCTTGTCCTAGTAATGCCATGCAAAAATGAAAATCTAAAAGAAGAAAGATGGATGAAATATACTTTTTTCAACATTGTGACATTATTTATAAATGTGAAAATTTAGAAGTCTTCTGAATTTTTGAAAAATGGTAGAGTCTTTCAGCATATTGCACTCCAGAGGTGCCTGGCACCAAAAAGCTCTGGAGTCTCTGACTGGACCTGGGAAAGAATACTTACGTCCATTTCTTCATTTGTACAACAAATATAAAACCATTATAGCAAGACTGTGGAGTGTAGAAATGTGTGTGAAGATTCCTGCACATAGTAGACCCAGTGTGTGGTAAATAATATTTAGAATTATTTTATTGTATTACTTAATCCCAATAGAAACCCTTGAAAATAATTATTCAATTACTAGTTGTGGGATCTGTTTAGCAACTAGGAAAGCATTATAGTAACTCATATAAAAATAAACTCAGCCATGCCTACATAGTTAATATAATTTTACTAAGGGTATATGGAAAAATGAAATGACCATCCATGGGGTGAGACATGAAGGTTATGATCTTTGAGAACAGAAGCATATACCTCTTAAAGGAAATAAAAGTCCATGCTTCTCAATGGGGTAATTCCATAGTAGAAATACAGTTAGTTTTAACAGCCCTAGAAAA